AAGATGTATTGTCCAAAAGTTATAATATAACTAGGGTATTTAATATATAACTTTCTCAAAAGCTTAACTAAAATAAATGAAGTGTAATGTTCTAATTAAGAAGCTAAAGAAGACCAAAAGTCCAAAACAAAATAAATGTTGTTTTTGAGACAAATCCTGAAGCCTTTATTTTATTTAAAATCCGATATTCTTGGTTCGAGCAAATATCAAACTCGAAATAAAGATCACGATTCTTCTTCTCCCATTGACAACGTTTATATGAGTCGAATCGGAGAAAGCTAACACAAAACTTGACCTATAAACTAGATGATGTGATATAATCATATAAATCGTGACTCTTTGGACCCTCACAGTTTTCAGATTGATTCAATAATTTCAAAGCACTCAAATGTGAATTGAATTTTGTTCATAAACTGATTTATTTTATTAGTTTTAACACCAATTAACTGAAACTCATTTTAGTATACCCGAACTGGATAAACAATGTTTATTAAGTTCTTAAAATTTTATTTTTGTACATGTTTAAAGTTTAAAAGTTTATACACATTATATTAATTATAGGGTTTTTTTTGCAAAAAAAAAAACTGTCACTTGGACAAAATTTGCAACTTAATCTTTCACTTCAGAAAAATGCAGGTCAATCCTCTATCTACCCGTCTACCCGCTATACAACCTTCCTCCATAGGTAGATTTTATAGTCTATATATCATCGTGTATAAGTTAACAAAACAATGTCTTTTAGACGTTTTAAAAAATATATAAATAATGCAAAAAAAAGTTTGAACTTGCGACCTATATGTAATAAACTCATAAATTCACAACCACTATCACACCGATATTCATTGTAATTTCTAACAAAATTATATATATTTGAAGTGTATCTCGTTCTTCTTCTTCATCGAGAGAGAGAGAAAGAAAGAGAGGAAGAGAGAGATAGAGAGAGACAAAGAGGAGCTAACGATGGTTTTGTGAATGGGATAGGATTTGGGGGAAATTGATCTTACTAGAGCTAAGTTAAATGGATTTGTATTAAGGGAGGATTGCTGTTTTAGCCTTACAAATTTCTGAAATTAGTAAAACAATTTAACATTCTCAAAATTAGTAAAATAACCTAACACTTTTAAAAACCTCGATTGTATCCTCGCTAAGCTTTGATGAAAAAAAAAACATAATCACAAAAATGCTATTATTATTTACTTCCAAGTCAGCAGCAACAATCGCGCGCCAAAAAATTAAGTCTACAATCCTTAATGGTAGATTTAAATTTGTTGGTAGATTTAATTAATTTTTTTTTTGGTAGACTTATTTTTTCAGAAATAGATTTGTGTAGATGTTGATAGATTTGTTGAACACTGGTAGACTTATGGTGATAAACTTATTTTCAACGAGACAATAGACTTGATTTTCTTGGTAGATATTTTATTTTTTTATAGACTTGTTGGTAAGCAAAATAGATTTAGTATGAGTTGGTAGATATAATGAATTGAGTTGACTTTGTGGGGTTTGGTTTACCAAAATTGGTAGACTTCATTACCTTTGACGGTAGACTTGTTAGACAAAAATATAAATTTATTTAAAAATTTAAATCTACTACAGTTAGTTTTGTTTGTGATAGGTTTGTTTTACTTATGGTAGATTTAAATACCGATAGAAAATTTGTTTTGTACTAGTAGATTTGTTTTCTTTGTGATAGATTTAAAAGTTCTTTTAAGGGACATATGATTTGTGATAAATCTATGGGACAATGTAATATATATATATATATATATATATATATATTTGAGGGTGGTAGAGTTATTTTTTTTTTAAATAGACTTATTTTTTAAAAATAGATTTATTTGGTAATAGAGTAGATATATAACTCATTTGGGAGCCTCGATTTTGATAGAATTATTTGAAAATCGGTAGATGTATGGAAATTGGTATACATATTGAAAGTTGATAGACATATTGACTTTACATGACGGTAGACTTAATAATATGAAATGACGTTTTTATCCGGCAGTACTTAATAATATGAAATGACGCCTTTATCCGGCAGTTATTATTGAATTTCCCTATACCAACCACCGCATCCAACTACATCTAGGGTCGCCACCGCCATTCTTTTCGTCGTTGATTTCCTCTCTTTACCTCTTTTGATGTTCTCTCTCTTTGTACCTCATCCTCTATCATGTCTTCTTCTTGTATGGTGGATATATTTTTAGTTTGTGGGAAAGGGAATTTTTGAAACCTCGGTATGTGTTCTTGGTTGATAAGCGAAAAGGATATCGAGTTGTACCTGCTGACAGGGAAATCGAGTATGGTGATTTTCTACAAAGGGTTTACGAAGATTTTGGCATAGATCAGCGCCGTTATGAGATTCAATTGAGTTATATGTTGTCAAAGAGATACATGCAAAAGCTACCTAAAGATACACCTCCAGTTTTTGTAGCAAGTACTCAACAACTTGATGGGTTTTTGCGTCACTTTGAGAACAAAACGATCCATCTATGAGTCAAGATTACTGTGAAAACAGCGACAGAAATTGTTAAAGAAGATGCTGATGAGCTAAATGGGAAAATCTGTAAAAGATCTACAGAGTTGGATGAAGACGTTGAAGCTGAAGAAGATGATGACGAAAGAGAAGAAGAAAGGTTCGACAATTGCGATGATCTAGATGGTGCGAGTTCTAGTGATGAAGATTACAATTTGTGTGGGAAGAGCTCTGACATTGAAGAAGGCATGCAAAAAACAAAAAACCTGCCACCAAAAAACAAGGTTTGTCAAGAATGGATGATTTTGTGCTGCTGGAAATGAAGTTTGTAGAATTGGTTTTTTAGGCAATGTGATGACACAAAAGACGAGTTTGAGACCAGATTAAAGATCTACGCTGTTGCAAATAAAATGGACTTCAATGTGGGAAACTTGAAACCCACATTATTGACGGTTAAGTGTTGGGTCGGAGGATGTAAATGGAGGGTACGAGCTTTGATGGTTGGAGATGGACCAAAGTTCTACATCAAAACATACTATGGTGTGTACACATTTTCTATCATGATGCGTTCCTCACGTGCCCAACAAGCAACTCTGGAGATATTAGGACGTCTTGATAAGGATTTTGTTGGTGGAGTAAGTAATACCGTTACCCCAAATCACGTATCTGATGCGCTTACCAAACGTTATGGAATCAAGGTAAAGGGTAGATATTGGTATATTTATTAGCTTTATTTGATAGTTTTTTTACTTTAGTTTGGTAGATTTTCCCATTAGTATGGTAGATTTGTTTCCATTAGTATGGTAGGTAGATTTGTATCCACTAGTATGCTAGATTTGTTTCCAATAGTTTGGTAGATGTTGATGTCTTTTAGTTTGATAGACTTATTTTTGATGAAGTTATAGGTTGAATATTGGAAAGCTTATCGTGTATTGAAGTACGCACGAGAACTAGTGACTGGAAGTTCAGAGGATAGTTACAAGGAGCTTCCGTCGTACTTATACATGATAAGGCGAGCTAATCCAGAACCACTAATAAAGCTGGAAGTGGATTCGGAAGACAAGTTCAAGTTAATGTTCCTTGCATTCTGTGCGAGCATTCAGAGGTTTCCATCTATGCGGAAAGTAGTGGTGGTTGATGGCACTTTCTTAACAGGTAAATACAAAGGTACACTATTCATTGTCATAACTCAAGATGGGAATTTCAATATTTTCCCAATTGCTTTCGGTATCGTCGATACTGAGAATGATGAGTCATAGGAATGGTTCTTTGCACAACTACACTGAGTTCTACATGGTGATGAAGGACTTGCCATGATTTCAGCAGGCATAGATCAATTGGGAAAGTTATGAAATATGGTTTACCTCATTTCTTCTCGAGGTATTTTCACAAGAATAAATTAGTCAAATATAAAGATGGGAAGCTTATCGACTTGTGAAGTAAGCACCAAGCACATATAGGCTTGCAGATTTCAATATCTTGATAGCACAGATTCAAGAGTGTAACCAAGGACTGTATATCTACTTACAAAAAGAGGATGTCCGCATGTGGAGCTGGGTTCATTTTCCGGGACAAAGGTACAACTTCACTACTAAAAGCATAACAGAGTTCTTAAATAAGGTCCTCTCAATGGTTAGAAGTTATCGAATTGTGAGACTACTGGAGGAGATAAGATCGCTTTTGACTAGGTGGTTTGCCAAAAGGCGCCGAGCTGCATATGTGATGGATACCAAACTTACTACTGGTGTCGAGAAATTGCTACAGGTACAGCTTTGATAGATATGTTCTCTTTCATGATAGAATTAGTTGTTTTGATGATAGACTTAATTGTATAATTTTTGTACAGGAAAGAGTTGAAGGTGCAAAGCAACTAGCAGTGCAAGAGATAGACGACCATCTAGCACAGGTTACCGGTGTCTCATCCTTACATGTTGTCAATTTGGAAGAAAGAACGTTTATTTGCTGATGATTTGACATCGATAAAATACCGTGCGTCCATGCCGTTGCAGCAGCTGAAGCTAATTTTTTTTTTTCCGAATCAGTCTAGCCCATCCTTACTATGGTACATCATACCTTTCCTCTACCTCTGTGGAAACAGTAATGCCAAGCGATGTTTTGTCACCTGTACCTGAAGTAGTCGCCAGCAAAGTCTGTAAGCCTCCTTTTGTTTGTAAATGACCAAGTAGACCAAAAAATCACGAATGAAAAGTGCCTTAGAAATAGCAATGCAGAAGAAACGTTCAAGGAAAGAGCACATGTGTTCTAAATGTGGCCAAAGCGGCCATAATCGTGTGACATGCCCATCATGAACTTTTTTGATCAAGCGTGTAATTATATTTGAATGTTTGTTGTTGTTTAATCTCTTTTACTTTAATTATCATCATATGAACGAACTTAAATATGTGCAATCATCATCATCATGTTAAGAAATATATCATAAATCATAAACATAAAACCGAGAAAGAATTCTGTGCAACATGGCAAAGAAGTCTACCATACATAACATAAGAATCGAAACCATCAAACAAGTCTATTAAACATAATCCGAAGTCTACCATACATAACAAAAGAATGGTACACCATAATGAGAATAGGTATGCCGACATGATCCTTACATAATGAAAGACATACTGAGGCACTCAGTTAAGTTTTAAATAGTTAAAGGGTTCATCTCTTCTACTTGAAGAGATATGAAATCACATCAAATACAACAAGAATAGCAAGAAGCAAATACCCTTCACCCCGGTTGGCGTATAACTCCTTCAGGCTAGCTCCTTCAATCAAGAGAAAATTGTCTTCGTATAGTGCAGTCTTTTGGTTTGAACTCGGCTTCAAAAACCCTATAAATATAAGAAATCATAAACACTAACCAATATATCATAATAATTAGCGATATTCCATTAGTTAGAGATATTTTTTTTTTAATGACAATTCATTAGTTAGATATATATATATATATATTCATTTTTTTTGTACTTTTTATTAGATTTTTGGTTTTAAATTTTGATTCTAAAATTTTAGAAAAAGATTGATTTGACAGCGAAATTAAACATTAAACCATAATAATTTAGAGCAGTTTGTTTTAAGTTATTCACATCATCACATAAGAACCAATAAAAAATGATACGTAATAGCTAAATGAGGTAAAAATGTCTTTTTGCAAGCTGAAACTCATTTTGACGATGACACGTAAACGAGACACTGTAAAACTCGATATGAACGAGACACATCAACAAATCACTACACAAATAAGTATATAGATGTTAGGACATATTGTTTTGGGCAACAAAAATAAAATTGGCAAGTGTATAAATATCCCAATCATATAATTAGTTTGCATTGGTAATGTCACTATGTCTAAGATTCAAAGCCAGAAACATTTGATAATAGAGTATATTACCCATAAAAACAATACATAGCATTCATGACATAGCTGATCATAACCTAAACTCAAACAAAAACTGCAACAAATAGACAAGAATATGAGATTGATTGATCTATGACAACAAAACGGTTGATAATTGCTCCTTATGAATGCAAGTTTGTCTCTCTTGCTTTTATGTTTTTCCATCCCGCAACACAGGATTATCAGGATGATTTACAAAAAAAACAAAAGAAGAGCGAAAAGCTTTTCAACGCAGACACTGTAGAACATACCTCAAGGTTAATCACCAGTAGTCTCCACAAGTGCAAGCACCGTCTTTCATATGGTGAAATCTCTTTATATCTCGCATGATCACTTCTCTACCAACTATAACTGCCATAATCTTCAACGCGTTATGACAATCAATACACACACGGAGGTTTTTCAGCACAGTGAAAGTTTTACGCGGTGCAGAGTTGAGAACACCGCGAGCAAAAGCTATTCTCTCGCTATGACCCAGGAGTGCGGACTCTTTACTCTCATCGTCTACATCATGCAAAGCAATTTTCGTTAGAGGGACATATCCCATTTCTACCATATGCATCTTTAAACTCCTCAATAGCTCAAAGAGTTCATCGTTCTCAGGTAGATTGGTATCCCCTGCCTTGAATTCCTGCCTCACACCAGGTGTGAAACTGGGAAAAGAATGAATCCCCGACCTTTTCTTGAGACTCTCTTTCTCAACATCTGATGCCTTGACCGGTAAAAAACCTTCCTTTGACTGTTTGTTCAGTCGTGTAGGATCTAACTCCTCAACAATCTCAGCACACCGATCACCAAGCTCTAAATCGCCGTGTACACGAGAAAGGTTCATCAATGTTTCCCACACATCAGCATTTGGCTCCATAGGCATTCTCTCAACAAATTCCAAGGCTTCATCTAGAAATCCCGGTAACGCAAACATCTCAACGATGCTTACATAATCGTCCATGGTAGGGATGATTCCATAGTCTTTGGACATTGACATAAAGTGCAATAACCCTTCATCAATATCACCTAGCAAACCACATGTATAGAACACTCCTCTGAATAGTCGACCGTCTGGTTTGTTTCCTTCGTTTTTAAAACGAGTGAACATGTCAATAGCGTCTTCTCCTAGACCATTCTTTGCGAAACATCTTATTATACTACACCAAGTCTCCAGATTCTTCTCAGGCATTTCCTCGAAAACACTCGACGCTTCATTCACCAAACCACAGTTGGAATACATTTCAATCAATATCTGATAAGAACTCACATCTAAATGAGAAACTGAGGCACGAATTTTCCAGTGAACAGCCTTGGCTTCTCGAGAAGCCTCTGCTTCACCACATAGCTTAGCTAACCGTAAAAGCCTATCTAAATCCAAAACATGACTCAAGCTTTCCAATGTATCCATAGCATACAGAGCCTTCTTCACATTCCCTTTTCTGTAAAACGCATCGAATTCCTCAACCACGAGGTCAGTATGAGTTTTTAGATAGTTTGCATCTAAATGGTAAACTAAAGCTCTGATCTTTCCCTGAACAGATACTTTAGTTTCTTGTAGAGTATCAGCATCATGAAAACCATCTTCTTCCCCACAAAGCTGCGCTAACCGTAAAAGCCTAGCTAAATCCAGAAAATGACCCTTCTTCTCCAGTGAGTTCATAGCATCTAGAGCCAGCTTTAGGTTATCTTGTTTGCAAAATGCATCAAAACCCTCAATCGTGTACTCTTTTTTGGAATTGAAAGTCTTGTTATTATTACCTGAATACCAAGAAGATCCACCATTTCGATAATCAGAGTTTGTCCCGTAACTTAGATTCTTCCAGAGGTTTTCTTGATTCTGAGATTGGACCTGTGGATTAGACACACTAAGATTCTGCTGCCATGAATTCGAACTCAAACTCTGACTTTGTGTCTGAAGAACACTTTCACTAACTTCATTACAGCTTCCACTTCGGTTTTGGTTTTCCCAATATTCTTTGCTGCCCTTAAAATATGGTCTAGGGTTTATATCACCAGAGAAATTTGATGAATCCTCGGTTCGATACTCATTAGAGTTTCTAAAATCTAACCTTTCAGCCGCCGTGGAAAGGTTCCTCAGAAATTTGTGGATTCTTTTGGCTGATTCAGAGGAAGAAGAAGGATATAAGAGAGCAGAGTTCGCTCTCTGAAACAGTGCTCTCTTTGTATACATCAGAAGAGCAGAGACTCAAAGAGTGATTTTAGCTTCGGCGGAGAATCTCAGACCGACGAAAATTGTGCGGTGTTTATGGTTTGACGGCGACGAACGATAACGATACGACCGGAGATGAACTATTGGGCCTAAGTTGGGCCCATTGGGTTGGCATCAAATTTGGTAGAGCAATAATAATACTCTTTATCATTTTCTTTCAAATTACGGTTTACCATCTAGTTTTGAACTAGTTTTGAAGATGATTAGAACTTAAGAACTCCAGGCTTTAAGAATAATTCTCGGCTTTAGAAAACTAACTCAAAAACTAAAGCTTTCGATCTCTATCAAGTTATATCACAAGTTTGATATCTCCTTATATAGAGAATGGATTAGATAACTCTTAATTCTAATAGAAATACAAATTTTCTTTTCTTAAATAACTTACTAACAATATTTCCTTATATAGAGAATGTTTCATTGCAGCTCCATGAGACTCCTTTGGGCTCTGCATGTAGCGACTTAACACACCTACACAATATGACAAATCTGGTCTTGTATGAAGCGAGTACCTGAGGCAACCAACATTCTTCTGATTCATTGTAGCATCAACTTCTTTCTTGCTTTCAGCCTTGGATAGCTTCAATCCGAGTTCCATCGGTGTATGTGTCAAGTTACAGTTCCTCATTCCAGCTTCATCTAAAATCTTCAAATCATACCGATTTTGACACAAAGATATTCCTTCTTCATACTGACAAACCTCAATTCCAAGATAGTATGTCATTCCCAAGGTCACTCATGTCGAACTTTGAAAGACATCTCCCCTTTAAACCTGTTGATAACATCTATGCTTGACCCGGTGATGAATAGGTCATCAGCGTATACAGCTACAACCAAGATACTTCTGCTGAGTTATTTCCGATACACAGATGGTTCCTTCGAGCACTTTGTGAACCTTAATTCCACCAATATTTGGTTTAACTTGTTATTCCATGCTCTTGGTGCCTGCCTTAACCCATACAAAGTTTTGTGTAATTTGTAGACCTTGTCTTCTTCTCCTTTCTTCTCATAGCCCTCTGGTTGTGTGACATACACAATCTCCTTTAATTCTTCATGGAGGAACGCTATTTTAACATCCAAATGATGTATCTCCCACTTATTTGAAGCCGCGAGATTGATGAGGAGTCGTATGGATTCCAACTGCGCCACTGGTGCAAAGACTTCCTCGAAATCAACCCCATGCTGTTGTACATAACCCTTTGCGACCAATCGGGCTTTGTGTTTATTGACACTTCCATCAGAATTTCGCTTAAGCTTAAATACCCACTTTAGACCTATTGGTTTTGCTCCAATCGGAAGATTGACAAGGGTCCAAGTTCGGTTTTTCTCGATCGAACGGAGCTCATCTTCGCACGTAAGTCTCCACTCCTTCACGCCTTGGCTTCATTGAAATTTCCAGGTTCATCATTCAAGCACATCAACAACCTTTCTCCTTCTTCTTCCGCAAGTAAAACATAGTTCTCTACTAGATACTTTTGGTTATACTGACGGCCTCGTTGATCTTCGCAGATCTGGTGATGCTTGAATATCGGCATCTTACCTCTATTTCTTGTTCATAAGAAGCTACAGACACATTATCATCTGTGTCGAGCATATTTCTTGGAGACTCTGTTTCTTCCCTTGTTTCGAGTTCATGCTCTGTTTCTGCTTCTTCGTTTAAACTTTGGATACCATGATTTCCAAATTCTCCTAACAAGATTTTAAAGCTTCCATCCTGTCTTTCTTCTGAGCTTATCGCACTCCAGTTCCATCCTTTAGTCTTGTTATATATCACATCTTGACTTACCACAATTTTCCGAGCTTTGGGATCAAGTAATCGATACGCCTTTGACCCAGTCTCTGTTCCGAGATACACAAGCATACGAGATCTGTCATCTAACTTCTTCAGCAACGGCGTTTCCACTTTTGCATATGCGATGCATCCGAATACTTTAAGATGACATATGTTTGGCCTTTTGTTTCGGTAAAGCTCATATGGTGTCTTGTCCTTAAGTGTTTGTGTAGCCACTCGATTCAACAGATACGTGCTATGTCCAATAGCTTCTACCCAAAGATAATTTGGTACTCGCATATCTTTCATGATGCTTCTAGACATCTCCATCAAAGTCCTGTTTTGCCTCTCTACCACACCGTTTTGTTGAGGCGTGTATGGTGCAGTGAGATGTCGTCTTATCCCCGAGGCATCACAGAAAGAGTTAAACTCGCTTGAGACGAATTCTACTCCCCTGTCTGTTCTAAACGTTTGAATATTTTCTCCTGCTTCTACTTTGACAAGGCTCTTGAACCTTTTGAACTTGATAAACGCATCACTTTTTTCTTTGAGAATAATCCTCCACATGTATCTGGTGAAGTCATCAATGAACACAAAGATGTACCTATTGCCGGCTAAGGTACTTGGCGTTATAGGACCGCAGAGATCGCCGTGCACGAACTCGAGTGCCTTACTTGCTCGATACGTGGTGGCTTGTGGGAATGCCTTTCTTACTTGTTTCCTCAGCAGACAAGAACCGCATACTTCCTTTTCAAATTTACTTTGGGAATTCCTTGAACAAGTTCTCGGTTCACCATATTTTTTATTGTCTCGAAGTTTATGTGTCCAAGTTTGCATTGCCATCTCTTTGACTCGTTCATTGTCGACAAGTGCAAGCAGTGGTGATCTCTGATTCCCATATGAACCTTATATAACCTGTTCTTCGACCGGTTTGCTTTGGCAAGCAATTTTCCCTTCGCATCATGCATCGTCAAGGACTCTCCTCTCATTCTTATGTCACACCCGGATTCTGTCGCTTGACCGAGGCTGATGATATTACTTTTTAGGTCAGGTATAAAGTAAACATTTCTCATCATCCTTAGTTCTCCATTCATATCAGTGAATGAGATTGATCCTTTCCCTTTAATATCAATTTGAGAGTCATCACCAAAGCAAACCTTCCCTGTTATTGACTCATCAATCACTGAAAAATATCTCCGATCACCTGTCATGTGATTGCTGGCTCCGTTGTCAAGGTACCACAAACCTTCTTCTCCTGATATTCACTTGGTGTGCAGTGTTTCTCGTTGAGATAAACAACCTCATGCATTAACAACTCGTCGGCACTTTGTGTCTCTATATTATTGTTCTCTTGATCCTCCTGAAGTTTAAGTAGTCGATCGGGACAATCAGAGGCGTAGTGACCAACCTTGTCACAACAATAACATGTTATAAACAATGTGTCTCTCCCTTGATTTGATCGTCCGCGACCTCTACCTCTTCGTCCTCTCCAATTGTTGTTGTAGTCGCGATTTGGTTTCCCTGTTTGATCCTCCGTATTCACATACATCAGTTTTTGTTTGTATCTTCCTGAGCTTCCTGTCCTCAAAATATCCTCTCTTCATAGGCTTTTAAACGAACTATAATGTCTTCAAAACTGGTGACGTTAAGGTCCAAGACTTGCTCAAGGGAGGCAACGATGTGGATGTACTTTTGTCGAGGTAAACTTTTAAGAAATTTCTTCACCAATTTGAACTCTTCAATGTTTACTCCGAGGGCGGCTGATTTTGACGAGATTTCTGACAGTTCTCCTGAAAAATCGTCGATTGTTTCTGTGTCTTTCATCTTTAGTCGATCAAATTCAGCCATCAGAGTTTGTAGTCTTGCCTCTTTGACTCTATCAGCACTCACATGTCTTGTTCGTATTGCTTCCCATACTTTCTTTGTTGTGTCTAACACGCTGACTTGTAGTACCAACGATTCGGGTATGGATTGAAATAGTAACGCCATCACTATGATGTTCTTTTCGTCATCCTTTGCTTCTGTTTCTACTCTTTCCCAGACTTTGTGGACTTTGAGACAAACTCGCATCCGCATAGCCCAAACCGTGTAGTTCGTTGTGCTGAGCATAGGGCATTGGATCGAAGATAAACTTCCTCCTTCTTTGGGTTTTTTCGGTTGCTGGTACTAGGTCTCCCATGTCTGTGCGAAGTTGACTTGAATTTAGGATAAAATAGCTCTGATACCAAATCTAGTTTTGAAGATGATTATGAGCTTAAGAACTCAAGGCTATAAGAAAAACTCTCTTATTGCGTTAGAAACCTAACTCAAAAACTAAAGCTCTCAATCTCTATTAAGTTATATTACAAGTTGATATCTCCTTATATAGAGAAGGGACTAGATAACTCCTAATTCTAATAGGAATACAAATTTCCTTTTCTTAGATAACTCTTAAGAATATTTCCTATTTCTAATATCTTGCAAGTCAATCTATCTTCAAGCTTAATTCCAACATACCAATCATTTTTTTGTTCCTTAGGTTTATTCGAAGTAGTCACCCTAACCTAAGTGGTTCAAAACTTTGAATCGAAAAAAGGGAAATTTGCAATAACTGATAGATAAGGAAACATCTATACTATTATTTGCAAAGTCAAAAATCTTACGTGTCGTCTCCAGAGCGATTTGCTTATGTGTCTTATTAAAATCTATATATGTGTCATTTTCCTTAATTCTAATAGGATGATCATTAATCATACATGTCAATATAGGTGATATGGCTTTTTTATCGAATACGGGCCATCGAATTAGTTGGGCCAGCGATTTATAGTTTAATTCTCGGCCATAACCATCAAAACTATTAAATGGGCCACCAAACTGAAAGTGTCAAATGGGCCATCAACAAAAATACCTTAAACCCTAAAGCATTTATCCTACACTATATAAATCGTTAGTCTACATATGTTTTTGACATTCTACACTCATCGTTCTCTTAGGTCTATTTCTTCTTCTTAATTATGTTCAGCAGCGTCTTTTATACTCTTCCTATTTATAGCTTCTTTTCTCTTTGTGTTTAGATAGCTACACTATATGTATTGTTATTGTTATTGTCTACTATTTTCTTATGTTCGATATTTCTATAGATAGCTTCATTCGTTTTTACGAAAACATAAATTAACCTCATCTTTTTTATTTTTTTCTTAAAGCTAGAGATCATCCTGCAAAATATAGCTGATTGGCTCAATCTTTTGGAATAATATCTTTCAATGGATC